AAAAAAACATCATCCTATAATCCTAAAATCATAAAATGTAATTTCATTCTATACCTAAAAGCACTACACTGGAAAGAGCAAATTATCCCGCCTAAGCATTCTCTCACTAAAATCCTGAAATATAATTTCACTTTCCGCAAAAAAATCATATATATATATATATATATATATATATATATATATATATATATATATATATATATATATATATATATATATATATATATATATATATAGGGGGGGGGGGGGAGGTTCAAATACAAAGTACTCCTTATATGAAAAATGAGAAGTAATCTTAGCCGTTAAAATGAGAAAATGAGTGGATCAGATCATTTGAGGGAAAAATTCGGTGCCAAAAGTGTAATTATTAAAAGGTTTTTTGAAAAATAACGTCACAAATGTGCATCACTACGGAGGAAAAGTGCATTAGAGTAACAAAAAAGTGCATCACTTTTCGAGAAAAACATAACAAGTATAATAACCGTTCCTATTATTTTTTTCGAAAGTGAATGTGCATCATTACATATTGTCTATGCACTTTTGCTATTATGTATTACACGTTTTGGTTGACCGTAAGTTTTGATCTATACCATCCATTTTTAAGTAATCAAGGGTTTAGATCACTTCTCACTTTTCATGGGAAGACCTCTTTGTATTAGAACTCATCCATATATATATATATTATTATACACCTAAAAGCACTACACTGGAGAGAGAAAATTCTTTCGTCTAAGCATTCTCCGTCTAAATTCCTAAAATGTAATTACATTTTCCACAAAAAAAAATCATCATCCTATAATCCTAAAATCCTAAAATGTAATTTCATCCTATACCTAAAAGCACTACACTAGAGAGAGAAGAGTTTTCTGCCTAAGCATTCTCCGCCTAAAATCCTAAAATATAATTTCACTTTCAACAAAAAAAACATTCTATACCTAAAAGCACTACACTGGAGAGAGCAAATTATCCCGCCTAAGCATTCTATGACTAAAATCCTAAAATGTAATTTCAGTTTCCACAAAAAAAAACACTACACAGGAGAGAGAAAATTATCCCGCTTAAGCATTCTCCGTCTAAAGTCCTAACAATTTTGCTATAGGTACCCCAACCTTACCCCATTTTATACCCCATATAAATACCTTCTAAAAAATTTACCCCCCTCCCTTCACCTCCCCTCCCTCACCTCCCCACAACCTTCCCCCTCATCTCCACTTCCAAATCTCCCACTCCTCCCACCTTTTTCCTTCCCCAACAACTTTCCAAGAACTCCCTTCCCGCACCAACCTCAACAGTTCCCAACCCATCCTCCACAACCGCCGTCCTGGCTCCCACAAAACAACCAACCGTCGTCATGGCCCCCACGAAACAACCAACCCCCGTCCTCACCCCCATGAACCCCTCTCCTCAACGCTCGCCGATCTGAAATCCTCCATAAATCGAAGCACGGCCCGGCGCCTCAGATCTCTGGCGGTAAAGGCCGGTGGAAGCCCCATCCGTCATGTGAGGCACTATTTCGTCATTTTGCTATTTTTTCCTCATTTTTTTTGGTATTTTTCGTCCAACTCCACATGAAAAGGGGTTGTCTGTCTGACAGACAAATTTGAAGTGCAGCGTCTGTCTAGCTTAGCATGGTTTCATGATTGGTAGAGTCTTACATAAGATGTCTATCTTATGTAAGACAAATTTATTTGTTTGAGTACATAGAGCAACTGTATGTATGCACATCTTCTTATTTTACAAATGTATTTTATAATACGTGTGATGACTTTTGTGATGTCTCTCTTCGGATGTTGAAAATTGGTTTGTAGTTTTCTATGAAGTGAAAAGAGTTGTCTGACATTCCATTTGATTTGTCTGTAATGTGAAATGAATTCTTTAAAATTGATTTGTAGTTGTATGTATGTGAAAAGCGTTGTCTGGCATTCTATTTGAGTTGTATGTAATGTGAAAATAGGCTGTCTGTCTACATATGTATTGCAACAAATTGTCTGTAATGTGATATAAAATGTCTGGCCTTTATTCAAAGTTGTCTGTCTACAGGTCGGGAGAATGAGTGATGGTGGCTTCCTTTGCAGAGCACCTGTAAATGAAAAAGTCATTGATTCCAGGTTGCGAGTATGCAAATATGTGGAACAAGGTGGAGGAAGCATATGAATTGTTATTAATGTGGGAATGTATATTTGTGGGTTGTTTTGACGAGTTTAGTTATTTTATAGTACATTTTGATGAGTTTAGTAATTGTTAATGTGGTTACATAAAAGTGTTCGGAGATATGATTGTATTTGTTAATGTACAAATGAGTTTGGTGAAAACCAAACATGTACTCCCTCCGGTTCTTATTAAAGTTCCCACTTTCCTTTTTGGGATGTCCCTTATTTAAGTTCACACTTCCATTTTAGGAAACAAAACAGTGCCAAACAGTGTCAAACAATGTCCAAACAGTGAAACACAACCGTTAGATAGACAAACAACACAGATAACCACACATACATTACTTTCACGCAGAAAGACAAACAATTTACACATACAGACAATACCGCAGATAACCAGACAAACAAAAGATCAACATACATAAGTATTCAACACATACAGACAATACCGCTGAATCCAATTGTTCAACATTGAACATGTAACATTGTACAATATTCAACACATTTTCCCAAGTGTAATATGAAAAAAATACATGTTCAAAAAATCACAAGTTCAAAACGGACACATTCCCCCAACACTATATACTTCAGCATCCTTGCATTTATTTCTCCATTGCAAAAGAAGTCACACTTGGTATCATTTTTGTAAATGAATTAGCGTCCGCTTGGAACTCTTTTTCAGCCTTACATTTGAAGTCATTCGTCATCTTGAAGTGAATACCTACGATTAATACACAACACGTAGTCAGAACACATATTTGGTACAAATAGCATATGTGAGGCATAATCAATTTGTCTGGAAGAGACAACTGTTGTCTGGCACAACCAACTTTTGTCTGGCTGTGAGACAGAGAGTAGTTAATTGGCCCACTCTACTAATGTCTGGCCCATACAAAATTTGTCTGTCTGTAAGACAGAGAGTAGTTAAATGGCCCAGACTACTAATGTCTGGCCCAGACAAAATTTGTCTGGCTGTAAGACAGAGAGTAGTCAATTGGCCCAGACTACTAATGTCTGGCCCAGACAAAATTTGTCTGGCTGTAAGACAGAGCGTAGTTAATTGGCCCAGACTACTAATGTCTGGACCAGACAAATTTTGTCTGGCTATAAGACAGAGAGTAGTTAATTGGCCCAGACTTTAAGACAAAACCGTGTTCACTTTAGGCTAGACAGACACTGCAGTTCTAAATTGTCTGTCCGCCAAACAAAATACAAACAAATTACAAAAAAACAACATACTCTTTCCAAAACATCAATTAAATTACTATATCATATTAAATTGGAAATCCATAAAAATGCTCATTAAACATTGAAGTACAAAAATGGGGAAAAAGTCTTGAATTTCAACAAAAACTTCATTGAGTAATTTCTACAAACATGTTATGGGCATAAAATGAAATAGAGAAATTACACTAAAATTTTAATTAGGTAACACCTCAAAATCATTACAATGAAACAAAATAATCATTTATTTACTTTTATATCATACATAATATACATAAAATCAAAAAAAGGAAAAAATAAAAATAAAAAACGCACATGAAGAAAAATCGTAAATGGAGTACGTAACTCATGATTTGAGAAGGGATGGTTACCTTAGACACAACTCCCCACGTCACCGAGCTTCTCCCCTTCGTCCGATTATTGTAGCTCTTCCATTTGAAACGAAAAAAGGCAGAAGAGGAGAGAAGCAAGAGAAGAAGCTTGGAGGGAGAAAAGATTTTAAAAATGAGAAGACTTAATGGGAAGAGATCTTGAAATGGAGAAGAAATCAAGTTTTAGAGAAAAGAAAAAGAAAGGGGAGGGGATGAGGGGGGCTGCGTGAAAAGAAAAGATGGAGGAGAGAGAGAGGGAAGGAGAAGAAAAGTGGGGGAGGGGGGAAGGGTTTTTGGAAAGAGGGTAAAAGGGATGGTAAAACAGGAGATATTTATATGAGGTAGGAAATGGGTAAGTATGGGGTACCTGTAGCAAAATTGAAATCCTAAAATATAATTTCACTTTCAATAAAAAAAATTCACCATCATCATCATCATCATCATATACATAAAAGCACTACACTAGAGAGAGAAAATTCTCCCGCCTAAGCATTATCTACCTAAAATCCTAAAATGTAATTTCACTTCCCCCCCTAAAATGCATCCTATACCTAAAAGCACTACACTGAAGAGAGAAAATTCTCCCGCCTAAGCATTCTCCACCTAAAATCCTAATATGTAATTTCACTTTCCGCAAAAAAATCATCATCCTATACCTAAAAGCATTACACCGGAGAGAGAAAATTCTCCCGCCTAAGCATTCTCCGCCTAAAATCCTAAAATGCAATTACACTTTCCGCAAAAAAAAATCATCATCCTAAACTCCTAAAATGTAATTTCATCCTATACCTAAAAGCACTATATTGGAGAGAGAAAATTTTCCCGCCTAAGCATTTTCCGCCTAAAATTGTTAGGTTTGCAATGACCATTAATAAAAGTCACGGACAATCGTTGAAAAAAGTTGTTATCTTACTCTGACGCTCCATTTTACTCACAAACATTTGTACATGGCAGTGTGGAGAGTAACAAAGTCATGGGATTGGAGTTTGTAATGACGAAGATGGAAAACCAACCAAATCAACGTTGAATGTTGTTTACAAATAAATATGTGGTGGACTTAAATGCGCATCCATTTCATCGTGTGATGTTTTACATTTAATTCTTACCATTTATTCAGAATTTATATAATGTTTTCAAATAATTCTAACACAATCATATTTTTTAAATATTTTTAAATATATAACTATATCTAAATTATTACGTGGTGTCTCACTCCCCTGCGGCGCACCCTGGAGTAAGTAGTTAATATTTAATTCATTTGGCCCCTCACGAACCCGATGCTCACCCCATTCGCGAGCTCGTGCCTTCTGCTGCACAGAAGGGATTGCTCAGCTCTCAAAGGAGGAACTGAGGAAGACCATAGCGAGGCATCCAGTTAGCGCCCGTGCAAGAAGATGTACGCTTCAATGGCAGAACCAGGAGAGATACTCCCTGATCGGAAGCCGGAAAAGTCTCCATACGAGATTCTCTGCCAGAGCAAAGCTTCGGTTGAGGAGATCGTTTCATCGATGCTCTCAATCAAGAAGAACGGCGAGTCGGAATCTGAATTTCGGGAGCTCATCACCCAAATGCTACTTAACTTTGTTACTCTCCGTCAGGTGGATTTTACATTTTATGCAGATGTGTTTCTTTGGGTTATGGCGAAGTAGCAAGGAGGGTAGGTTGAGCAACAATGATGCATCCATATAGATAGTAGAAACTAGTACATCTTGTCTCATGAATGAATTTCTTTCATAAATGTGAAAGTCTTAATGTAGAGTATTATGACTGCTAATGAAAGCTGTTCTTGGCTCGAGGCCATTGAAGGTTTGACCTTTAACTTCACCGCAGATTTCGTATTAACTACCAGACAAGGTATATCTGATGGCCAATGAATATGTGTTTCCATTTATAGAGAAGGGAAAATGATACTTCGTATTTTGTACTGGGTAGAAAATACTTTATTACTCGGTATGTATATCTTTATTACACCAATACCAATGGCATAAAGTTCTACATTGCAAAATATGTTTTAGCCTACAAAGCCATTAAGTTTTTTCTCAATCAAATCCTCTGAGTTGACTATTTTGCATTTATGTGCACACTATCATCTTTCAGGCAAACCGTGCCATCTTGCTAGAGGAAGATCGTGTAAAATCTGAAACAGAGCATGCAAAAGCACCAGTAGATTTCACAACGCTGCAGCTGCACAACTTAATGTATGAAAAAAGTCACTATCTCAAAGCTATAAAAGCTTGCAAAGATTTCAAGTCAAAGTATCCTGACATCGAACTTGTTCCTGAGGAAGAGTTCTTTAGAGATGCACCCGAGGAGATTAAAAGTTCTATTATATCCAATGACACTGCACAAAATTTAATGCTCAAACGCCTCAATTTTGAACTATTCCAGGTACATAATGCCCCATGCTAGTGTCATAATCATTGGTGATGTAAAACTTGTATTTCAACAATTGTTCAAAATAATTCAACACTGTAAATTGATGAAAAACAAGTCACAGTCTTATTCTGGGTGATGCACTCCCTTTCACAGCATTCCAAAGAAGCTATAATAGGCAAGCCCTATTGCAAAATTGATATTGTAAAATCATCACATGTTACATATATCATGAAGCACATGATTCATAATGCTCCCATGTGTCCATCAACTCCATTTCATAATATTTTGAATCTGTTCTTTTACTAGCCATTAGATTGGAGCAGGAAACGTTTGATGGTACCTAGGGTGTGGATGAATTTCCATTGCTAGTGATTCAATGCTGAAGTATGGATTGCAATTTAACAGTACTCACATTTTTGTTTTGTCAGCGCAAAGAACTTTGTGAACTGCGTGAAAAACTGGGAGAACAGAAGAAGAATCTTCAGGGGATCATAGCTAACAGAAAGAAATTCTTATTGAGCCTCCCATCACATCTGAAGTCTCTTAAGAAAGCATCCTTGCCTGTTCAGCATCATTTAGGAGTTCAGCACACAAAGAAGCTAAAGCAACTGCATTCGGCAGAATTGCTTCCCCCACCTCTGTATGTTATATTTTCACAGCTACTGGCCCAGAAAGAAGCCTTTGAAGAGAATATAGAGATGGAAATTGTTGGAAGTGTCAAAGATGCTCAGACTGTTGCTCGCCAGCAGGCAACTAAAGACACTGGTAAATATGAGTATAAATTTTCTTTGTATTTATTTTGTCAAATAAATGTATTACATAATTCATTTTTATATCATTAAGAAAGCAGTATGTTATGTCCTTACATAGCAGGTATGCTGGCTCTTCTCCATAATTAAGTTTATGGTTTGATAGATTGTGTATCTTGCAGCTAAAACTACCAGTGTAGATAGTTCTAAGCTCGATGAGGATCTGCCTGATGAGGAAGACGATGGACAACGGAGGAGAAAACGTCCTCGGAAGGCTCCGAGCAAGGAAAGTTTAGACCAAACAGGAATCTATCAAGCACACCCTCTTAAAGTCGCTCTTCATGTTCACGATGACAGGACTACTAATTCAACCCACACCAAGCTTGTAACTCTGAAATTTGAATACTTGATGAAGTTGAATGTAGTATGTGTTGGGGTGGATGGTTCTCAAGAGGATTTGGGCATGGACATCCTGTGTAATCTGTTTCCTGATGATACTGGCCTAGAGCTTCCTCATCAGGTATCCTATTCTGATGTACATAGTATTTCATGGTTAATGACTTCTGGTCATTTCTTTTAACAATCCAATTTTTGTATGTATTCAAACAGTCAGCTAAGATGATTGGAAATTCAAACGAATTTGATGCGACAAGAACTTTGCGACCTTACAAGTGGGCTCAACATCTCGCAGGGATTGATTTTTTGCCAGAGGTTACACCATTGCTAGGTGGTTCTGAAAGTTCTAAAGAAGAAACGGCTAAGCATTCTACGATTATAGCTGGTCTGTCGCTATATCGTCAGCAGAATCGAGTGCAAACAGTTGTGCAAAGAATCCGTGCTAGAAAAAAGGCTCAGTTGGCTCTTGCGTGAGTTACTTCACCATTTGCTAAGAATCATGGATCCTCGATACACACGTAGCTAAGAGAGGCATGTTTTACTTGTAGTTGAGTTTAGGTCATCCCGAATCCTTTTTGGACAAATTTTGCTGAATGTGTTGTGAACTTGAAGTCTTGAATAGAAAGTGCATTACAATGATGTATCTTGCAGTACTTTTGTCTCTTTTCATTGTATCAACACAATCCTTTTCTGTGTTACCACTAATGAAAAGGACTTGTGTCAATGTATTTCATAACTCAAAGCTATGCAGGTTTAATTTCAAATGTGCTCTGGTTATTTAGTTTGCACTCTAGGCTCTCTCAAGTAGATCTCGTGGATTCTTTGTAGTGTATATGTAAAGTTATATATTCCAATGACTTACAGGGAGCAGTTTGATTCTCTAAAAAAGTTGGAGTGGCCAGTTCTCACACGTAAAAGCGTTCCATGGACATCCCATAACCACCGTTGCTGTTTGCACAGTTGGTCATCTATTGATTCACCACGCAAATCAACCTTACCATTGCCGGTTGTGGATGCAGAAAAGGTTCTCCTTGATCCTGATATTTCAATGGATGTCAGATCTGATACTTCAAAGCAACAGGTTGAAAACTCCAGAGAGGATGGGGAACTTCCCTCCTTAATGCTAGGCATTGCTGGAGTAAATGATCCAAATCTTACTCCAACTAAAGGAACTATTATTGATAATAATTCCAGAAAACTTGATTTCATTTCGAAACGTGTCATATCCCCTCTTAACAAGGGGAAGTCTCCAAGCTTTAAAAAGTATGAGGAGGATGGAGACCTTATTTTAATGGAATCAGATAGTGACGGGGATGATCCGGCTCAAGTTGTGCAGGATGCTAGCAACATTCTTGGGGGTACACTGGCTTGTGTAGATGATAAGTCTTGGGCGGACTGCAAGGTTGTGGACTATATTCTTCTCTTAACCAGAAAGGCTCACGATGAGGAAAAGATCTTGAGATTAGAAGCCCAGGTACAATCATCAATTTTTTAATATTTTTCTAAAGTTTTCCACTTCGTTCATGGTATCGGGGAATTAGGCACTTGAACTCTGATTTTACCCCAATATTTGATTTTGCACCATAGACCACCCCAGATGGCGGTGCAAAGTCAAAATATTAACATGAAACACGTGGATAAAACTTAAATGTCTAATCAAATTTGGTATTTCCCCAAAAATATAACCAATCTTGGTTTTGCACCCAATTGAAACCCGTATATATGATTTTGCACCCCCAATATGGAGTGAGAAGTCAAAGAAAATAAAACTAGTGTTGCAAATACCTAATTTCCATCTATATTTTGGGCAATTAGTGCGGCAGATTAAAATTAGCATTTAGCTTGATTCTTGGATCTATGGTGGCAGGTTAAAATAAGCATGGAGTATCCTCTTCGGCCACCTCTTTTTAGACTGAGACTTTATGCAACCCTTGATGACAAGAGCTACTGTGAGGTTCACTGCTCAGAGTGGTATAATGAACTCCGAGCCATGGAGGCAGAGGTAAGTAAACCCTAAACTGTAGTAAAGAGGTGTATGCTATGTAGTGCCTTGGACTACGTGGTTTTGTTTTTCTTTCCTCAAGAAACCTTGGAATTTTGTACCACCCCCTCTCCCCAGATTGTATCACTCTGTCTTCAGCGTACTTAAAAACTCTCATGGTATGTTTGGATACTGGAAAAGGCCAGGGAATGTAAAGATTTGTCCAGAAAGGTTATTTTCATGTTTTTTTGTTTTAGCTCTGAAAAGCAAAGGAAAAGGAAATATGATTAGCCTTTATCATTGTATAGTAGAAATAAATAAATAAATATATTTCTCTTCGCCAAGGAGAAGATTCGGGTTCGATTCCCATTATCTGCACAATATCCAAATTCAAGGGGAAAGTAATCCATATATTAATCTAAATAGAGGGGGATCAGGTGGTCATGCTAGAGACATAAACAGTCATGGATAATGATAATATGAGATTCTTCCAACTGGGCTAAGAGAATGCCTATCACTTTGAGGTCCCAATACCAAAGTTTGTTCTATACATATGACAAGGAACGATAAAAATAAATGTAATTGCTAAATGATTGGTTGGGCTCTATTTTATAAATCTAAAGTCCAACTGCCTTTATGGAAAACCCCTTTTTGCGGGCGATACAATAGCTTTTAACTATGAAGAATTGAGATCTGGTGATATAATACAAGGCCTTCCAAAAGCAGAACAGGTTAATAAATAAACAAAACATGTTTGAAGTTTGAACACACAATATAAACCCATACTGAGATTGAATTCACGTATAATCCCCCCACCCCCATATTTTCCTTATATTTTGACCAGAGTATGTTGGATACACTTCTTGCATGCCTCTATAAAGATGCTGTAGATCATTAAACTTGGACTGTTTCATCTCCTCTGTCCCATGAAATGACCTTCTGCTGAGATCAAAACCGTTTTCACTTTCTTCATTTTTAGTTTTAGTTTTGATATATAGCAGTATAGCATTTTCTCATTGGCCCCTCAACTAGAAAAAGTTACTGTTGACCAGATTAGTTCCTGTTTCCAACCCATTGAAACCATATAAAAAATAGCAACTCTGAGATTCCCAAAATTGTATGCATAAGAAATGGTGAAGTACACTCTTGTGCCTTCTTGCCTATATCGTAGTTGTAGTTTAACAAGTGATTTTGATTCATTTTAAAAGTTTCACATTTCCATAACCTGCAGATATGTGTTTTCTGCAGGTAAATGTTCACATAATGAAAGTAATACCTGCTGATGAAGAAAACAAAGTATTGGCTCATCAGGTCCATTGCCTTGCAATGCTCTTTGACTTTTGTATGGATGACAAGGAAACATGTTCTGAGAAAAGAACGAGCACATCTGTGATCGATGTTGGTCTCTGCAAACCTGTTGGTGGTGAGCTTGTTTCTAGATCGTTCCGAGGCAGGGACCGCAGAAAAATGATATCTTGGAAGGACACTGTCTGCACTCCTGGCTATCCTTACTAGCTATGAAGCATGGAAACTTCCCGTGGCTCACGTTTCCGTGTTTTGGAAACTCGGAAACTTCAAATTCCCGTTTCGGCGCTGTTTCCATAATTAAGAAGAACTGGGTAACCCGTTTCCCCAAAATAATCAGCGTTTTGGAAACCTTGGGTTTCCAAAACTTTTTCTTTATGGTGAGATTTCTTCAAGGAAAATAGTACATTTATAAACTTTTTGGTGAATTTTTATGTGATTTCATTCTAGCAACATTGTGATACTTCATAATGTAAAGCATTGCTAGACATGTATTGCATGTTGTATTTAATCAGGTACTAATATGTAATAGTTTCTAAATTTGGACATGCAGAATGTTTTAATACGGAGTATTAGTTATCAAAGTTACAGGAAAAAACTATGTTGACATATATATATATATATATATATATATATATATATATATATATATATATAAATGATATAATGTGTATGCATATACAAAAAATATCTGTAGACAGTGCAAATTTTTACACGTTTCCTATCCTATCATTTTTAGAATTCTAGTTCTTGCATTCCACATTTCCTGTCTCGTTTCTGTGCTATATAGCTCACTAGTGTACTGGTTTTGACTGTGATAGAGTGCAAATTTATCTTCTAGTCCTTGGAAACAAGCATTTATCTAGTGAGTTCAAATCATGTTTTGTTACTTGTGTAATCTTGTCACATGTTTTACTGACTTCAAATCCAATATATTAGTGGGAATTAATGTATGGTTTGACGGCATATTTTGACATCAAGTGTTATCAAGCGAGTCTCCTGGTTCATAAAAGACTACCACCATCTTTAGACTAGAAAATTATTCTCTCTTCAAGTTCTGTTTGGTAGCCAAATTGGTCTATTCTGCTAATTTTGGATGATAAGATTGTTACAAAATATTTTTTTTGTTACAGAAACTCCAGTCAACCATTTTAGCCAAATAGAACCCTGACCAAACAGGTTCCTAGCATGCCAACGAAAAATATTATGGAGACATTTATAGGTAGATAATAATATATAGCGACTCCTTGTACACAATGTTTTATGTGATGGAATTGGAAACCTAGAAGACGCCAGCAACTTGAGATTTATCTCTCAAGTATGTGAGGGTCTAGCCGTCTAGATGTGAGTTGTTGAGAGACTACTTTGGTGAAATAAGGTAGATACTAATATATGTTCTACCAATGTAGAATACACACAACGCTTTACTCCCTCGACCAATGTGGTTACATATGAAAACATGTATCATTCATTCATTCTAATTTTTACATTGGAAACGTTTTCTAGTAAAAGAAACCAATCAATGTGTGTGTGTCTGTGTTTCCACATTTCTCTTTGCGTTTCTCTTAGACTCTTAGGTCCACATTGAATATTCATCAACTCTATTCTCTAGTTCCTGTAGTCACAAAAAAGAAAACAACTATTTCCATATTGTTTTGCATATGCAAAACTGCAGATTGTAAGATGGAAGCACCGTGTGCTGTAAAAAACAGGTCGGTTCTTTATTTATTTACGGAACTTAAGGCGTCTAAGACTCTTAGTCCAAGGTGGTTAGCATGGGATATGTTTAAGCAAGTGTAAGAAAACAAGTAATACATCGTGGTGGATGTATAGGATGAAGAAGCCTGATTTTGCCTAAATATGACACTTTCCATAGAAAAGTTTTTCAATTCTGGGAAAATATTGCTTCAATTGGACCAGGGATGATTTATTGATTGGTTATATATATACAATGTAAAGTCATTAGGCGTAGCAAGACATATAGGCCAAGCCCCCAAAACTTAAAGCTTAGACGAGAATGTGAAGTTTAGTTGGGACAAGATGTTTGTTATTTTTTTTAAGGATGTTTTTACTTGCACTGTAATTCGTCCCAGACCAGACCAGACTTGGATAGTTATAAAAATACAAAGAAACCAGACCAGAACAGACCATAGTTAGTTAGAGATAATCAACCAAAAAGAAACACTTAGTAGTCTAATATGTTATGTATGAGTTTCTAAATCTATAACCTGCATTTAAGAGCTTTGAAATAGTTTAAAACTCCGTACAAGTTGTATTTTGATAAAATGTATTTCGTATATAGAATTGTCATACATTTGTATCTGCACTTACACACACACACAACTATACATATAGGGGAATGCTAAAGTTTGCACCACTTCTTAAATGTACATTTCAAATCCGAACCTTTTATGATATCAATCTTAATATGTAGTTCCCTCAAATCTGAGCCTTCTATGATACAATTTGTTAGTCTAGTTCCTTCAAGGAGTTCCAAACAAGTTAAATATGATAGGTTTAGTCAAACAAACTAGTAAGATGAAGATACAAGTAGAATACATACATTATAAGAGTTGTACCTGGGAAGTTGGAAAAGTTTTTAAACTTTGATCACCATATATTTTTTGTAAAAAGAAGTGATTTTTTTAAATGCAACTTCAATTTCCTTTTCCTAAACTCTGTTCTCTGCATACTGTTTCAAAGACAAGCTGTAACTCTTGTGGAATGAGTGACACAAAGTAGAAACCTTTCATTTTATTACTTCACAGTGTATTAGTATCATTATGCAGGGGTCTACAAATACATTGAGTAATTGATTGGTATAAATCTAGTTGCCAAGCATATATATAACAATGCTGCTTGCTACCAATATTCAATAGATATACAAACAAATATTGAGATAATTCGTTAGGGTGGGTTGAATGACATGCTTCTAGCATATATAACTGTACATTCACAGCTCATCCTTAGGCATAGAAGATGAGTGTTTGGGGTCAGTGGAAGAGGTCTTGACTGGGTAAGATGCTTGCATTGCTATACCACACAGTCCCCCGTCCTCGACTCCACGTCGCATCCTTATGTATCCCTTCTCTCCCCATTCAGCGCCCCACGAGTTTTTAACGATCCAGTATTTGGTTCCATCCTGTGTTATCCCATACCCAACGATCGCAACCCCGTGATCAAGCTCTTGTCCACACTCCCCACTGAAAACACCCTGTAAAAATTGCACTTGTCGTTATGCAACATCGAATAAAAAGAAAAACATAACCATCATATAAAGTCTTGAGATACTTGTATTAGTAAATTTTATAACTCGCCTCGGAATAGAACTGGAAGTCAGAACCTGAAGCTTCTATGGCTACAGAAACAGGTTGGTTGGCTACTGCTTTAAGCAGCGAGTCCTCATCATTTTTAGGCACGTCTTCATGCCCATCGATCGATACAGCTTGCAAGTGCACCTGCCATCATACACATCACATATGTCTATTAGTTACATGGTTCAAATTTGCTACATTTAGCTGTTCAAACCATTTTTCCTCCAAAAGGGTCATATTTCAACAAAAAGAAACCACTTATTACTAAACTTGATCACTTGCACAAAACCAAAAATCCTGGAACGAGTATGCTAACTTTAGTATAACATACAAAAGGAATATTAAAAAAATATAAGTAGGATGAATGATTTATAAGAGATCAGATGTACTCTTGTCTCTTAACTATCTATTACTACGTACTCCGTAGTATACATAGACACAAGCCCTATTGTACGGTTAACACAAGTATATATCTTAAATACCTACATAGTACTAAAACTCATGATAACTTCCTAAATATGATCATGCATGATTGTTTTGAATATATGAATTGCACTGGCACGTATGGAACACAGTAAGAAAAAGAAACACAGGATGGTATGCACACATGCCATATGCTATCATATCACAAAAAAAAAAAGATACGAGTATTAGTCTTATCTTGGGAAACACATAAAGTTTTATTCATAAAGGGTAATTTCCTTTGTATCTTTCTCACATGGTATCAAGATGCCAAAAAATAGCCCCATTCTTCTAAGATTATTATCTTGATAAGGCACGCAAAATGACGTTTTTTGGGACGAAGGGAGTACATACAAGTAACAAATGGATGCTTGTAAACATTGTGGTGTATCTTTACTTACCTTTCTTGAATCACATCTGCCTTGTGCAGCCTTGTAAGGGTAGATTTTTTCCGTGGAGAGGCCGCCTTGCTTGTTGATGAACTCAAATGCTGAATCCATGAGGCCTCCATTGCAGCCTTGGTTTTCCTGTGTGTCGCAGTCAATGAGCTCTTGCTCTGACAAAGAGACTAATTTGTTGGTCTTAATTTGATTTATCCCTTCAACTGCTACAACAGTTGAGAATGCCCAACAACTCCCTGCATAATATATATCGTATGCATATATCAAGGGTACGTCTGCTAAGATTCATCTGATTGAATTCGTTAAACAAAGGCAGCTTTTTTTCTTAAAGCCAAAGCATTTGGTGGCATCCATTTAAAAGTAACCTACTTCATTCTTCTACCAATAAGCAAAATAATAAGCCCAATATGACTAGCTAGGAGAGCCTAAATTGTCTTCATTTATTATACTTTGTGGAGTATATACTTAGAATTGACCCGGTTCCGTGTCTATTATTCATTCTCCCCGTAATCGGCACCCAAAAAAGGGGTCGGGTCCAGTTCGAAATGTTTTTTTGCCTCTTTCTTTTAAAATAAATTAAAAACCTGAACTCTTCTAAGCGAGGAAGGGGAACTCAAACCGTTTTGGACCGGTTTCAGATACCCGTCCCGGCCTAAAATTGTAATAAAGGGACACCGGTCCGGTTCCTTACATGCTTGGTCCCAATCCAATTCGAGAACTGGGACCGGGTCCACTCCTACGTGCAGGCTTACCGCATTGGCCTTGGTCCTTGACATTGGTGACTGCTCCTTTGGCGCGCCAATCGACGGAGGCCGGGACGTCAGTCACGTTGGCGTACTGGAACGACGGGCTTGCGCGGGAGGCGCCTTGTAGCAACCGGTGGTGCTTGATCTTTGCATCGGCGTACGTCCTTCGGAACTCGTGGTTCGTCATGTCCGCAAACTTGTTGAGCTTGAGCTTGTAAGGCTTGTCCTTCTTATTGAAGTTGTGGACATAGTCAACGTTTGACTTGAAGACATTGAACCTCTTGTGTTTCTCCTCCAGGCTGGTGGAGACAGTGTGGTGGCTCCTCCACCTCTCGTACAACCCCCACAAGCTTTCCTCACTCTCCAACTCCTTCTCGTGGTATTCGAATCCTTCTCCAATGCTAAGTACCAAAGCTAAGCTTAATAAGACACCTAAGAAGAAGAGGAAGTAGGATTTGTTCATCTTCATTATATGGTATATTGTGTATAGGATAGATGATGCAATGAGATAGGTATATGGAACTATGGGACTGTTTTATTGCCCTTTTATAGATAAATAGTTACCTAAGGATATAACATAAAAATATTATATTATGGGTTATCCATTATGTTGCTTGCTAAGCTCGGAAATGGTGTGCTTCCAATGAATTATTGGTGCAGAGATTGGGTTTGCTTAAGGGCAACAGCAATGTATTAAAAAGTGTTAGATCGGCCGGCCAATTATGCAAGGAATGGGGCATAGCTTCTAGCTTTGTAGAGATTAGATTTAAGTTTATGTAAAGTCTAAATTTGTGGAGGGAAGCACAGATGGGGTATAAATTTTAAATAACTTTTTTAAACTAATGGTAGTTTTATGAAAAATACGTAGTATAAAATTTAAACTTTTCTTCATTTAGTACAATTCCCTTAATCGAATACAAAGAGTCTTTATTGTCTATTACTCCGTATAATAAAAACGATCATTTTGTATCAGACAAATGTCCATTCATTATTTGGTAGTTGTCAAGGACATGGTCATAGTTGCGTAGATAGGGGGCAATTACCAATCTATTCCAACTTCAGTAAAGTTTAATTTTTTTAGTATTAAATTTATCCGAGTAATTAATTAAACCATTTTGTTTATGGAGCAGCGGTCAGTCCATGCAATTTTGGACGTGATTTTCACTATGGGTCATCCGGAAACAGTCTCGATGTGCTTTAATACAGAGGTAAGACTGCGTATATCCGACCACTCTTACCCCACCGTAGGTGGATCGGCACTGGGGTAAATGAAATGAAATGAAATTAAACCATTTTGTTTTCTCATCATAAGTTAAAAACTTTGGGTTGTAATAATACAGGAAATTGAGGAGTAGATGAAACTGTTGATAAGAATGGTGTTGCTTGTGGACTACTACAAACTGCATGTTAGTAGCTTGAGCCGGCCAGAATAACAGGATCGGAATCTTTGACAATCAACTTTTGTGACTGAAAAGCATATATGGACGAAAGGCACATATGGAAATTCGCAATTTTTGCGTGTAGTAGGCATGAGTGGAAAAATTGTGATCTTTTTAATTGAACTCAAATTTTCGAGTTTGATTTTGTCTCGTCTAATCTGATCTAGTTTAATTTGATTAAGATTGGTCTAATTTGATAAATGTTAGGTTTATGCGTATTTTATACTTCGTAATTGTCAAAGTTCGATATGTTTGTTTAAATCTTATCTGGGAGGCCACATGTACTGTAAGATCCGGACCTGCCCCGCGACTTCACTGGGTGGACCCGCCCGCGCCGTGATCCGCACGGGTCCAGACTTGTTGAGCCATGCCCCATCCCGACCTGCTGAAACCTAATTAGCTATATATTATGCATTTCTATTTGCATGAAGTTGTTACCACTCGAATCTACATAAAGTTTATCTCTAAATAAGTATTTCAAAAATTAATATATTGAATCAAAATCACGATACACTAACAATTTCAAAAATTAAGAAAAAAGTACTTAGATTTGAATAGATAATCTATTTATATTAATAATAGAATATATAAATAAAATGCTACATATAAAAAAGACTTTGGTAATTCGTTGTTCATCTCATTCGGATATAAATATTAATATGTTATAAGACCAAAGAATTAATGATTTATTATATACACATATTAATACATTTGTAGTGTAACTTTTAAAAAAGTATGTATACTTATATATTGAACAGGGTGAGGCGAGGAAGGGACGACACGAGTCAATACTAATACTCAGATTCATCCCATTGTATGGGCGGGCGGGACAGACCTGCCCCATTTGCAAGACGGGGTGGGTCAGACCCGCTCCAAATGTCTCGGACCATTACTGATTGCGGGCCTGTTTTTTTTTTGACATTCCTAAATAACATCCTCATCAATAATACACTATATTTATTATTGAAATAAACTCTCTAAGATTCCGTCCATAGGCCAGGACGAGTACATGGTTGGCCTTGAGTTTATAAGATTCAGCCCATAGGCCCGAATAATACATGATTGGCCTTGACAAAAATACAAAATGGTGTAGCATATAAATCATAAGCCAATAATTCACATGTATACAAAATTTTAAAGAAATTATTCCAAATAAGAATAAAAGATAAACATATTAGGGAATACGAACATAATTAGAGTAGATATGTTTTAAAAAGAAAACAGTGATAATGTGCATTATTATTACATTAAATGACAAATTCAATAAAATACTTAGTCTAATGGTAAGGAGGAGTATTGTATTTGAGTTGGATCCGTATTAATTAGGCGTAGGCGTGCATGGAATCCATGACGTCCAAGACACGGGAGTAGTCAGTTTTTATGGTTGGGAGGCCTTCTGCTTTAAGCCAAGGTTACAAACAAGTGGTCGGAGAATAAAGTTGGTGTGTGTGGCCATATATATATATATATTCATCATTTATATTGACTTCACTTATTTAATTCATTATGGAATGAGCCCCAAAGTATAGTAGTAGCAGGTCATGATATATAGCCCCAAAGTTTGTTAAAATACACCCTACGGCCGGATGTACGGTGCTCACCGTACAGCTGAGTTTTTTGTAATTAAACTTCCGCGATTCAGCCCTGCAACTCGCGATTTAGCCCTGCAACTCACCAACGAAGACGACGAAGGACGGCAAATCGAAAGTCTGATGCAACTCACGAACGCAGATCGCCGATAGCCAAGCTTCCAAGTGCAACTCACGAGTCACGACTGAGATTATTAGACTATTTTCGTCTCTGCTAATTACTGGTCTGCTACATGGGCTGCCACAGTTTTTTATACAAAATGAAATTATGAGCATAGTAGACATTTCGAATGAGTTTTATGATTGCTCATTTTGTAATTTATGTATACTCATTTGATATTTGCTTAATACTCATTTTAAATGAAATGAGTTTTATGTTAAACTCAAATGAGTATAACGCCCAAAAAGAATGAGCACACACAAATGAACCTTTTATTTAAAAGAATGCTCATTTTAAAATGTTGAACATTTTATATATAAGGTTTGAAGCAGAGATCACCGATTCTCACCGTTAGGCTTCTAATACTCAAAAGAACAGGATTGATGCTCATCAAAGTTGCATAAATGCTCATTTAGGAGAATCCACGATTTTCACAAAAATTACAATTTTGCCACCGGCTGTACAGTGATCACTATACAGCCGGCTGCACAGGGTACGCGTTCCCCAAAGTTTAGTACAAGTGGTACGGATCACGAGAATATGAACTTATGAAGCTAGCCACAACTCAAAATGACATGCTCTAAAATTTTAGCCAAAAAGGGGCACGCATTTATAAAAATATAAGTATAGTTATTCGGCCTTTCTAGTTACTATATGTATAGAAAGATTCTGGATTAAATAAAAATTCACTCCCATTAAAATTAAGAATAAATATGTACTCTCTCCGTCCCGGTCATTTCTTCCAATTTTCCTTTTTGGACCGTCCCAATTAATTCTTACAACTTCACTTTTGGAAAAAATATGTGGTTAACGTTCATTCACTTTTTTCTTACACATTTACAACCATACATTTTCACTTTATTCTCACTACCTAAATTTGCGATATCGGTCAAAACCGGAAGAAATGACCGGGACGGATGGAGTAGTATATATTAAGTTTATGATGTAATGCTTTAAGATGTAGTATATATTATTTTTACTGCATATTGAAGTTCAAAGTGATGAATATTATTGAGTTTGTAGGTTAGTAGTTTAAGCATTGTTTGTATTTGATCTCTTATATATATATGTTCAAATACTAAGACTTATCACTCTCTAGGGAAACAACCTCAGCTGCCACCGATACAGGCCTACTCAGACATCTCTGTCAGTTTTGATCACTCTGATGACTCTTTCTTCCCAGACGACTTTCTGGGCCATGCAACAAAAAAAGATGGCCGACTTCCCATTTCACTCCAAGAGGAATTTAGACACTCTAAATTCAAAAGGGCGATTTGCCGCAGAGCTAATTTCGTTACCGTGAAAAACTGTCTGCCCACTGATAATTTGAACACACAACTACAAATTTACAGGAAATCTAAGAAAATTAAAAGACACCATAACATGAGGACTCAGTCACAGTCTAGAGATTCCTCTTGGGTCTAGTTCTGTTAATTTCCTTTTTAATTTTCTGTACTGTTTCTCTTTTTATTTCCTTTATGGCTTTGTACTGATTTCTTTTGTCAATAAAATCCACTTTTTCTCAAAAAGAAATTCAAATACGTTAAATCAAAGTTTCTCTTCATTACAAAATTGCACTTCTAGTATGTAAATAGTGTATCAAAAAGTGAACGGAAAAAATCATGTGAATGGAATAGTGCAACGTAACACAAATGATCAAAAGTGGAGAACTTCACTGTTTACACAAAAAGAAGGGCCCGAATCACAAACTGTGAATGGAATAGTGCAACGTAAATGCTAGGTTTCATTTACCAAATATTATTAGAAATGAGAAAACTGAAAAGAAATACGTTGGTACAATAGAAAGGACACACATAAAAGATAAACTTAGGATATCTTGTGTTCGGTAAGTTGAGAATTTTGGAGACATGTTTGAGTTTTACTTGCAGACTGCATCACCTCGTTCTGTCTCTTAGTTTTTTTGAAATAACATGAGCGGACCAAGAGATTTGTGAGAGCGGGGCACACTAGACACTAAACTTAGCCTATAATAAAAACTCTTGTCCCGAAACGGGGGCACTGGTTTTTATTTTAAGTGAATTTCTGGGCCCGAAGTGATGGCACGTGCCCCAACTAGCCCCCCCCTAGGTCCTCCACTTATTGAAACCCTCTTCCTTAGTAGCAACATTAGGAACATCATTTGTGTCTATGTTGCCATGAATAATGTTTTGTTTCACGATGGCCTTCTTCTAGAATTTGTGATCAAGTTCCCTTTGGATGTCCATACAAGTCCCACTTTAAGATTGGCGAGAAGAGTTTGGTATCCCTCTTTTGAGCTCATAACAAGTGCTTTATAGAATATGTTATTAGAAGATATCATAGGACCTATATCATGCATATGTTATCCT